CTCACACAGTTTGTCTCACACACACTCTCTCACACGATCTCACACACACTCTCTCTCACAGTCTCTCTCACACTCTCTCTCTCACACTCTCTCACACACACTCTGTCACACACACTCTCTCTCACACACTCTCTCTCACACACACACTCTCTCTTACACACACTCTCTCTCATACACTCTCTCCCTCTCACACTCTCGCTCTCTCACAGTCTCTCTCACACTCTCTCACACACACGCTCTCTCACACACTCCCTCTTTCTCACACAGTTTCTCTCACACACTCTCTCACACGCACACTCTCTCTCACATGCACACTCTCTCTCACACATTCTCTCTCATACACACTCTCTCATACACTCTCTCTCCCTCTCACACTCTTGATCTCTCACATTCTCTCTCACTTCTCTCACACACACTCTCTCACACACTCTTTCTCACACTCTCTCCTCACACTCTCTCACACACTCTCTCACTCTCTCTTTCCCACACTCTCACTCTGTCTTTCTCACACATAATCTCTCTCACTCTCTTCTCACACTCGCCCTCTCACAATCTTTCTCTCAGTCTACCTCTCCTACTCTCTCTCACACACATTCTTTTTCACACACTCTCTCTCACTCAGTCACACACACACTCTCAGTCTCTCTCTCAATCTCTCTCACACGTTCTCACTCCCTCTCACACTCTTTCTCTAACACAGTCTCTTATGCTCTCACTCTCTCTCACACTGTCTCTCTCTTACACACAGTCTTACACTCTCTCTCTCACTCTCTCTCACACTTTCTCTTATACACACTGTCCCTCACACTCTCTCTCACTCTCTCTCGTTCATCCTGTCTCTCTCTTGCTCACTATTTCTCACACACACTCTCTCCCTCACACAGTTTCTCTCACTCTCTCTCTCTTTCTTACACGGTCTCAGTTTCTTTCTATCTCTCTCTCGCTCACTGTCTCTCACACAGTCTCTCACATTTGTAAGGGTTGAGGTGGCACAGTGGCTCAGTGGTTAGCGCTGCTGCCTCATGGCGCCAGGGACTCGGGTTTGATTCCACCCTCGGGCGCCTGTCTGTGTGGAGTTTGCACATTCTCCCCGTGTCTGCGTGGGTTTCCTCCGGGTGCTCCGCTTTCCTCCCACAGTCCAAAGATCTGCAGGTTAGGGTGGATTGGCCATGGGGAATGCAGGGTTACAGGGA